ATGATTGTACATCCAGTGAGCTCCCAAGCTTCCTTATGAGCCTTGAAGGATTCCATCACTTTCTTCTTCCTCTTCTTCAAGAATGGGCCACCCATTTCATAAGGACTAGGACCTGGCAAGTCTTCGCCGTATTGTCCAATTGACTGAAGCATAAGGGAAAAGCTTGGAAGTGTGACTGAATTGAAGGGAATGCATGCTTCATAGAAGAACTGGCATATGTACTCACAAGCACGGTTCCTTTTCTTCAATCTCTCCCCAGTTGTCAACTTTAATTGAATGCTCTCACTAGATTTTACCTTCCTTGCAGCTATAGCATCTTCAGGTGATAGTTGGCAGAATTTTTCCATAGGCCCACCTGAGGATTTAGATGTTTTGCCTCTCGCTGACTTAAGCATAACAACAGAATTTCTTCTGCCATCCTCATCACTTGAACCTTCCCCCTCTGAGTGGCTCAAGTCCACTTCACTTCTAATCCTCTTCTGCTCTGAAATTTTTTCTGCCTTTTTATCACCCTTCTTTGTCAAAAACTCAGTCATTTCATCCCTTACATCAGCTGGCACTTTTGTACAGGGAACAACACCGGAAGTTGGAATGTTTGCAAGGTGGAGCTTGATTCGAGTAATACCATTGGTGTACACATGATGACAGAAAATGCACTTCAAAGAATTCCTCTTGTTTTCATCAGGACAAATGCAATATTTCCATCCTGGGTCTTTTGATTTCACATTCACAATGGCAGCTTCTCCTTGTACCGTTGATGCTGCGCTTGAAGCACCAACGCCGACAATCAGACAAATTATATATCAAATTAGCAATGCCTACGTCTTCAGTGCAGTACATATATCTTTAGTATAGAGTAAAATCGGCCCATCCAAGCATTAACACAAGTTACTCTTGTTACTATAGTTCAGTTCAGTACTATATGGCCTGATAACTCAGATACACACAAATATACACAGTTAATTAGTCAAACTGTAAACCATATTGAGGAAATCAACATCTTTCTATGAATATACAGGGATCTCCTTCTGAATCCTACTTTCCTTTGTTGGTGCTCTTGTCGGCATTCATCTGGTGGTGCTCTTGCTAGCGGCATAGCAAGAGACGGGAAGGGCATGGAGATGGCTCAAGGGAAAGTGGGTATGCGACGGTGTGGATGCTTGATTACCTGGTGGTTGACTTGCCGATGGTGTGGTTGACATCGCCCGTCGGTGTAGGATGGAGTCGAGATGGAGGACGCTGCCACGGCGAGATGATGTTGTCGCTGCTGCTCAAGATATTGCCGCCGCGCTGATGACTAGATCTTGCTACTGCCTGCGCTCATGACCAGATGTTGCCGTCGCCGTCGCCGCCGCCACCGCCGCTCATCTGGGCTGGGAACTGGGAAGGGGATGAGAAGTGAGAACTAGGGTTAGCCGGTTAGGTCTCGTGGGAGAATAAGTGAGAAAGCTAGTGGTCGGTCGTGGGTTGGTTTTGGGCTTTTGGCCTGCTGGGCCTGCTAGGCTGCTCAAGATATTGCCGCCGCCGCTCATCTGCATGTTGTAATGTTGTAACGTTACAAAGTTATAGCGCGTGTAGCGCGCTAATTACGCGATTAGCATCGTAGCGTCCGATTTTGCCAAAATGTAACGTCTCCCTTCCAAATATGCTATAACCGCGTTATAACGGCGAAATAGCGCGCTATTCAAAATATTGGTTCAGCTGCAGATAATCCAGTATGGAGTATTATGTGGGGACTGGCAAGACGACCCCACCTGCAGGAGCACCGTGACCCACTCGCCAGCGCCGACCAAACCCGCTGACGAGTGGACCTGAGTGGACCCGGTAGCTGGCTCCTACTTAACCTCTGGTGGCCAGCGAGACGGGCATCCGGAGGATCATAAAAGGCAACGGCGGTGGCTACCTGCTACTTTCCCCTTCCTTGTTCTTCACCAATTTGAGGGCAATCGATCCTTGTAATTCATCTTGTATGAGCTACTACTTCAGAGAGCCACTCTAGATCGATTATCCACTGCTGTATCCTAACATCTGGTATCAGAGACGCCATCGATCCTTGGCCCTCTCCACTGGCGTAGTTCATCGAAACCCGACGGCTTCGCCAAGGTCGTCAACAGCTCAAAGAGATGGATCTGGCCATCAAGAGCTACCTCGATTCACTCCGGAACTCGCTCGACGCCAACACCGCCGTGATGCAGGCCCAGACAATGAAGATCGACGACCTATTGTCCTGGTGTCCCGATCTGGAGAAGCGAGTCGGCGACCTCGCTGCTGCGGTCTCCGATCTGCAGCAAGCGCGCGACGCAGACGCGTTCCAAGACACGGAGGTGACGGTCAAGGCCGCTCCGACCATCCCAGGCGCAATGGGTGGTGGTCTCCCCGGCACCGGCCCTGACGCGAGAACGCATCCACAAAGGTCAAGGGACCACGGCGAGCTTCATCTACATTGGGGGCAGGCACCGGTGCACACGCCGGTGCCCCTCCCGGCCAACGGTCAGTTCCACCCCCAATCACCTCTATCGCTGCCCTCACCGTTCACACACGCCAGTCAAATCCTCGCCTATGGCGCACACTCTGTGAGCAGTATTTTACCATGTTCAACATCCAGGAGACTCATTGGGTCCCTATGGCTTCACTGAATTTCACTGGCCCTGCTTCGGTGTGGTTACAGTTTGTCCAGAAAAATTGGCTGGTCTTGACTGGGAGTCATTCTCCTCTCTCCTGTGTACTCGATTCGGGCACGATCGCCACCAATTACTCATTCGACAATTTTACACCATTCGTCAGACATGATCTGTCGCTGAATACATAGAACAATTTGAAATGATTATTAGTCATTTAGCAGCTTATTCTGATACTACACATCCTTACTATCATCTTACTTGTTTTGTTGAGGGGTTGTGAGCAGACATTCGAGCGGTGGTGATGGTGCAGCGACCACCCGACCTCGATACGGCGTGTTCCCTCGCCTTACTGCAAGAAGAGGTGGCCGACTGCGTGCACCGGGGCTCTTACACCAACTCAAGCCAGCGTGTGGCGAACCCAGCGCCACGACAAAGTGTGCCGTTACCGCTTCCTACACCACCAGCGCGGACAGGCCCAGCTCCTCCTCTGCACAACATTTCTGCGTCGGATCGGCGTGTTACAGAGGCCGCAAGAGCAACAGAAACAAATCGCGGTGATCCCAGCAAGCTCAAGGCCCTGCGCGAGTACCGTCGTGCACGCGGACTGTGCTTCAAATGTGGAGAGCGGTGGGGGCATGATCACGTTTGTCCCACGTCTGTACAACTTCACGTGGTGGAAGAACTGTTGGAGCTTTTCGGTCTCGACACCAACAGTGAGCCTGAATATACTTCACCAAGCTGGTAGCCACCGGAGACGGCCATGGCTATATCTCGTCATGCCCTCACAGGTGGTGTTGCTCCAAAGGCATTCCAGCTGCATGCTTGGATTCAGAATCATGAAGTCCTTATGTTGATAGATTCGGGCAGTTCCACCTCATTCCTCGACGAACAACTTGCTGCTAAGCTGACAGGAGTGCAGCGGATGCCCAGACCTTGCCGGGTAAAGGTCGCAGATGGAGGTGAGCTATGTTGTTATACCAGCATTCCGGATTGCGCATGGTCATCCCAGGGCCATGAGTTTACCACTGAAATGACGGTCCTTCCACTGGGCACTTATGATGCCATCTTAGGCATGGATTGGCTCGAGGTGCATAGTCCTATGGCAGTAGACTGGAAGAGAAAGACTCTGGTTCTGTCCACCACCTCTGAACCAGTTTTTCTCCAAGGGCACGGGTCCGCAACCACTTGATCCACCATTAACAATGCTCAGTTGATGGCCTTGTATCAAGCGGGAGCACTGTCCCACGCGGTGTAACTCTATCTGATCGAAAGTGATGCCGTACATCCTGACCAGAACCCAATACCTGACTGCATTCAACAGGTGTTGCTGGAGTTCGAAGATCTGTTCCAGGAACCCAAGGGCCTCCCACCATGGCGTTCCCGTGACCACACTATTCCTCTTATGGAAGGAGCTCAACCTCTCAATATCAGACCCTACCGTCACAAACCTGAACATAAGAATGAGATTGAGCGACAAATTGCAAAGCTGCTGAGGCAAGGGGTTATCTAGAGAAGTACCAGCCCATTCGCATCACCAGTAATTTTGGTGAAGAAGAAAGACGTCACCTGGCGCCTATGCATTGATTATAGATATCTCAACGCCATGACATACATTGGGAAATTCCCCATTCCTGTGATCGATGAATTGCTCGATGAACTCCATGGGGCGGTGTGGTTTTCCAAGCTAGACTTGCGGGCAGGGTATCATCAGATATGATTGGCTGAGGGAGAAGAGTACAAGACAGCGTTCCAAACACACTTGGGCCATTTTGAATTCAAGGTGCTTTCTTTTGGCCTGGCGGGAGGACCGACTACATTCAACGGCGCCATCGGTGAAACCCTGAAAACAGTAAACCGTGTCTGTGCATTGTCCTTCTTTGACGACATCCTTGTATTCAACAAAACTTTAGACGAGAACGTGCAACACCTCCGTCAGGTCCTTCAGTTACTGCACAGAGACCAGTGGGTTGTGAAACGTTCCAAGTGTTCTTTCGGTCAGAATCAATTGTCATACCTCGGGCATCGCATCAGTGTTCAGGGAGTTGCCACGGAACCAGCCAAAGTCCGAGCAGTACAAGATTGGGTTACCCAACAGATGCCACCGCGGTTCGACGATTCCTGGGTCTAGCAGGCTATTATAGGCGTTTCGTCAAGCATTTTGGGATCATTGCACGACCCTTATTCAATCTGCTGAAAAAGGGGACGCCGTTCGTGTGGACAAATCAGACTGAACAAGCATTCCAGATTCGTAAATAGCGACTGCTATCTGCTCCTGTTCTTGCCTTACTGGATTTCACGAAAACCTTTGTTGTGGAAACCGATGCGTGTGCTGACGGCATCGGCGTAGTTTTACAACAGGATGGCCATCCCATCGCTTTCATGAGCAATTCACTTTGTCCTCGCTACCGTGGCCTGTCGACTTATGAAAAGGAGTACCTTGCCATTGTGGTGGTTGTAGAGCAGTGGCGTCCTTACTTACAACATGCAGAATTTGTGATTCATACTGACCAAAAGAGTTTGGCACCTGGAAGAGCAGCGGCTGTCCACACCTTGGCAGCAAAAATCTTTCATAAAACTTCTGGGCCTCCAATATCGCATCCATTACAAGAAAGGCACTCATAATACCGCAGCAGATGCGTTGTCTCGATCGACCCCTCTTGAGCGTCTCACGGCTATCTCTTCTGGGCAACCCGCTTGGCTCGAGGACATCTTCAACAGCTACAACTCCAATCCCCAGGCTCAGAAACTTTTGACACAACTTGCAGTTGCTCCGGATTCTAAGGGCCACTTCACTCTAGTACAAGGTATTATTTGCTTCCGGGACAGAATCTGGTTAGGAGGAAGCACTGCGATGTAGCAGCATATCATTTCTGCATTCCACGACAGCCCAATGGGGGGTCATTCTGGATTTCCCGTAACCTACAAGCGCATCCGTTAGTTGTTTGCGTGGCCTCAGATGAAGATGCATATCAAGCAGTTTGTCCAGTGTTGCCAAATTTGCCAACAGGCCAAGCCAGAACACATCAACTACCCAGGCCTCTTGGAACCATTACCGGTACGAACAGAATCATGGGAATTCATATCCATGGACTTCATCGACGGGTTGCCGCAATTAGGGCACATCAACTACATCTGGGTCATTGTGGACAAATTCACTAAATTCGCACCCGCACACAGTAGCTAAGTTGGCCCTTCTCTACATGACACACATCTACAAATTGCATGGTTTCCCAGGGGCAATTATTTCAGATCGTGACCCTGTTTTCACTAGTCACTTTTGGAAAGAACTGTTCACCTATGCCGGATCTGAATTACGCATGAGCTCAGCCAATCACCCGCAAACGGACGGGCAAACGGAGCGCGTGAATCAATGTCTTGAGACCTTCCTCAGGTGTTTCACTCAAGCATGCCCCAAGAGATGGAGTTACTGGCTACCATTAGCACAATTCTGGTACAATGCTGCTCCCCATTCTTCCATCGGCATGTCCCCATTCAAGGCTATGTATGGACGAGAACCGCGCCACAGGGCATCACACCAGCGAATGCAATATCGGTTCCCTCTCTTCACACATGGCTGGACGAGAGAGCAGTGGTGCAGCAAGCTTTACAACAACACATTCATCACGCAAAGCAGCACATGAAGACCCAAGCTGACAAGAAGCACACCCTGAGTGTTTGCTGTTGGAGACCACGTCTTCCTAAAGCTACAACCGTATATACAGACTTTAGTGGCCAAACGAGCATGCCACAAGCTGGCTTTTCGTTTTTTCGGGCCATACAAGATCAGTTGTCGCATCAACGATGTTGCATACGAGTTGCAACTCCCAGCTTTTTCTCAAGTCCATCCTATCTTCCATGTGTCCCAGCTACGTCGTGCCTTGCTTCCAGGTACACAAGCTTCTACAGAATTACCACCTGACACTGACATTCCGGTAGTACCAGTCGTAGTTCTACAAGGTCGTTGGCGCAAAAAGACGCGAGAGCATGATTGAGCAGGGACTCATCCGATGGTCTAACCGTGAAGCTATCGAAGATACTTGGGAAGACCTTGCTGAACTGCAAGCTCGATTTCCAGACGCAGAGGCTTGGGGGCAAGCCTCTTCGCAAGAAGGGGGGATGTCACGGTCCCTGGCAAGACGACCCCACCTGCAGGAGCACCACGACCCACTCGCCAGCGCCGACCAAACCCGCTGACGAGTGGACCCGAGTGGACCCGGTAGCTGGCTCCTACTTAACCTCTGGTGGCCAGCGAGACGGGCATCCGGAGGATCAGAAAAGGCAACGGCGGCGGCTACCTACTACTTTCCCCTTCCCTTTTCTCCACCAATTTGAGGGCAATCGATCCTTGTAATTCATCTTGTACGAGCTACTACTTCAGAGAGCCACTCTAGTTCGATTATCCACTGCTGTATCCTAACAGGGAACAAGAGTTTGGTGCAAGGATCCGTAGAGAGGATGGACAGGGTTCAACTGCAGATAATCCAGTATGGAGTATTATGTGGGGACTGAAGGTGTCGAGTAATTAAGGTTAAAAAACTCTCTGAAAAGTGTTGCATGGTATAATTCCTGGACTAGCTGTTCTGTCAACAGACATGTAGGTACATTAGCACAATGCCCAATGTGCTTGAGGGGAGATGAGGATATTTTGCATCTCGTGCTCGGATGCAAAATAGTAAGAGAAGTTTGGAATGCTTTAGGCCTGCTAGAAGTCATTGATGATGCGGCTAAAATTGACAGGTTGGGCTCTATTGTCCTTGAGGAGATCTTACGAGAGATTGGCACTCCACGCCAATGCTTGGAATACCGGGGATAGCAGTTGGCGCGTGGTACATATGGTGGCAGAGAAGAGAGGTCGTGAAGGGAGAAAGGGTAGCTTCGACTCCTAGTACTGTGTTCTCTATTCAGGCGCTTGATGCTAATTTTGCTAGTTCGCCACGGACACCTAGAAGTGTTAATTCATCATTAATGGAATTTCACGCTATGCTGAGTGTTGACGTATAATGTGCTACCTGGTCTCTTCAATCAGTCTTTTGGTTGCATTGGCTAGAGCATGCACTTCTACATGGTATCGGAGCCAATAGGTCTTGAGTTCAAGACCCGGCTGGCGCAATTATATTGCAGCCCACTTTCAGTCCACGTTTAGGTATGAGGAAGCCACACGTGAGGGGGAGTGTTGACGTATAATGTGCTACCTAGTCTCTTCCATCAGATCGGTTTTTTGGTTGCATTGGCTAGAGCATGCACTTCTACACCGAGTGCCAAATACACTTGGCAAAGGGCCAAATAAACTCGCTAAAGTCTTTGCTGAGAATTGTACTCGGTAAAGAGTACTCGACGTACATCTATTAGGCAAACAAAAGATTACCGAGGGCCAATTGTCGAGCACTCGACAACCTGTTTGCCGAGAACCAAACAGTGTCTCTCGACAAAATAAAGTGACTTCACGGCCACTGGTTCTGTCGGGTCTTTACTGAGTGCTTCCACTCGGCAAACTTGTGCACATTGCCGAGAGCCTCCACTTGGCTTAACTGAAACAAGAAGCTCCAACAACTCACATTTACCGAGTACCTTTATCAGCGACTCGGTAAAATCACAACCAAACTGCTAACGTGTGTCACGTGTCCCTTCTGCGGAGCGTCATTCTTGAAAAGGGTTATTTTGCGAGTGCAACTCTTGGCAAAGATGCATTGTTAGCATTGTTTCTGCCTATTTTTCATGTAACCCAGCAGCAAAAATAGATATAACAAGAATATCCACTTAGAGAACTTTGTATACTATATAAGGATCACATACATAACAACAAACTCATGAAGGCATTATATATGGTCGGTAGAAGCTTCATATAGAGTCACAAAGTAATTATTTAGCACAAGTGCCTTCTCACTAAACAACAAAGTGGTCAATGCATGTCTATATATGACCACAATGATAAAAGCAACACCACAATTAGGATGAACTGAAAGAGGATTATCAAGTTCTTCAGTCCATTCAGCCCGATAAGCTGGCATGCACCATTGCCTAATTCATGTTTCTCTTCTCATCGAGCACATACTGGTTGTAATGAGTCTTTGCCTCCTCTCTACTCTTGAACGAATCAAAGGATCTTCCTTTGTAATGAAGCACTTGTTCATTGCATGCAGACCCTGAATTGTAGACTCCTAGACACCTACTATAACGCCCCGAGACCGTTGCGCCAGGTGTCTTCCTGTTATTCGCCGTTGTTGCCTTGTCATTTGTTTGCGTGTCATGCATTTCATATCATGTCATCATGTGCATCACATTTGCATACGTGTTCGTCTCATGCATACGAGCACTTTCCCCGTTGTCCGTTTTGCAATCTGGCACTCCTATGTCCTCCGCGTTCCCTTTTGTCTCTTTTCGTGTGCGGGTGTTAAACATTCTCGGATTGGATCGAGATTTTCCAAGCGGCCTTGGTACACTACCCGTAGACCGCCTGTCAAGTTTCGTGCCATTTGGAGTTCGTTTGATACTCCAACGGTTAACCGGGGAACTGAAAAGGCCTCGTGTGTGTTGCAGCCCAACACCCCTCCAAAGTGGCCCATAATCCATCCAAACCCCCTCCATCCTCTCGGTCGTTCGATCACGATCACGTGGCTAAAACCCGCACCTCATTTGGACTCTCCTAGCTCCCTCTACCTATATAAACACCTCCCCCTCCGAAATTCGCGGTCAAACCCTAGCATTTTTCCTTCTCCGACGCCGGACACATCTCCCTCCACCACCGGACATGTCCGCCGCCGCCTTCGTCCAATCCAGAGCCGCCACCTGTCCTCCGCCGCCGTCCCCGTGCCGCCGGCCCGTGGAGCCCATCACGGGCCCGCACGGGCCCAAGCCGCCGCCGCCCGGCCCGCTCTACCCCGCCGCCTCGTGCGCCTCACCGTCCGTGCGCCACTGCCGCCCTTCACCGCGCCCCGCCACCTCGCCTGCATAGCCGCCACCGCATGAGACCGGCGCTGTCGTCACCCGGCTCCTGCGCCGCCTATCTTGCCAGCGCTCGCCGCCGCCGCTGCATTAGCTCGCCGCCGCTCGCGCCGGCAACGGCCTCCCCGCGCCGCCCCGTCGAGACCTGGCCGGATCCGGCCAGATCCGGCCCGGATCCGCCCACTCCGGCCGCCCCGACCCTCACCGGCGAGCTCCCTGTCTCCGGCTTCCTCCGGCGACGTCTCCTTTGTCTCCCTGTCAACTCCGGCGAAGATTCCGGCAAACTTCGTAATCCGTGCGAAACCCTAGATTTGCTTCGGAGGGGTATATTTCCACTAAGTCATTTTTCTGTGTAACATTTTATGCCTCTGTTCATCGCATCATAACTCCTCATCCATAGATCCGTTTCATGCATATGATATATCGAAATGTTCATCATGATGTCCTCTTCATTTTGTTCCATTGCACCATGCTTGTTTGAGTCCATCTTGATGCCCAAATAGCTGTTGCAAGAGTGCTATAAAATATTAGGTGCTGATTCTTATCAGTTTATGAGCATTTGTCATTTTTGCCATGTTTATTGTGTGCTGCATATGGTCATGAGCTCTACATGTGTTTTATTATATGTCATGCCATCTTTACAGGGGTGTATGCCATGTATTTTTGTGATCAATGTGGTG